AAAGAGTGATGATTCAGATTCCAAATTTGGTTCTAAACACATACAAGTGCATGTTTGCTTTAGCATCACGTCAATATTGATTCACGTCTTAAAGAAACAAATCATTATAACTTTTTGCGTATTTCAAACTATCTGACGTGATTTTTCTAGTGGGTGTGATTTATGGACGCCAATCCAAACATATTAGAAGAATTGAAGATTGAAACCATCAGCCTATTTTGCTATAAAGGTGCAAAGCATGAGAATGTCACATGCACATACACTCTTTTCGGTGCAAGCTTGTGATGTGTGAAACTATCTTGTGTTGGACCACCCTATTTAATTGGTTGAAGACTGGAGTTGGTGGATCGAGGGCAACCCAACATGGCCATATATATGGACAAAATAACCTTCTTTTCCATGGGGTTCTAAATAGCATTGAAATTCAAACTCACCACCAAACTTTCATGATCATATTTAAGGTACTACCCCATTATCAAAGAGACTGTCTCCAAATTTAGATCCTTTAACTCATGGTGTGGGACTTGAAAGGTACGAAGGTTAGTTTAGAATTAAAAACCTCAACTTTAGGTTTGATTAGTCTTCAAATGGCTCCTTGTAAGGTCCTTTTTAGAATGAATACAAGGATTTGAAGGTGAGACAATTCACCAAGAGGAGTGATGGGGTATAACGTATGAACCATGTGTTAATGAGCATTGTGCTCGTTGATATCATATATACCGTGTACGCTAGATGTGGTCCTCTAGAAGAGGCATTCAATATGAAAGAGACTGTGCCTTTGAAGCCAGATGAGGTAGATTTGGGGTCATTACTTGTAGGACTCAAGACGTGTTGAAGTGGTGTTCTTTTATAACTATAGTAGAGTAGTAGTATTTAGTGTGTGCAATATATACGATAACTCTAATTTAAATAGTGGAAAAATATTTGCAATCAGTTAATAAACAGAACTGTGCATGAATTACTAAACTAAGATGTTTAGTTTTTAAATTTGAACTTCAACTTTTTTATTTTATTTTATTAAAAAGGTATAACTCTTTTTCATCGACTTGACTCCTATAAGGATAAAGTAGTATCTCTAGTTGCAACTCCATGTCAAGCTAGAAATTCAACCATGACCTTTGGTTAAAAAGCACAAGTGTCAGACTATTTGAATGAACAATTTTTGGTATTTGAACTTCAATTTAACTTGATTACAGTCGCCGTCCCGTCGCGATCTCGGTTCCGGAACGGGCCATTCCAGATTCAGAACGGGCCGTTCCGGTCCCTCCTGAAAGTCTATAAATAGCGGCCCTTGTCCTTCTCAAAGGGCACCCACACACACACATCTCCACCTTGGACCAGAGAGAGCTCAGAAGGAGAAACCAACAAGTTACCACTTCTTGAGCAAAGAATAGTGAGTATATCGAACTCACTTTCTTTTTATTTATTTATTTTTATTTTATTTTTTTATTAGTAATATCTGTTATTTTAAAAAGTTTATTTATCATCTTAAAGTCTTATTTAAATTCAAAATGTGATTAAATATCAAAATATAGTGTTACAATATTCAATATAAATATTTAAAATTATTGTATCAAAAATTTTATTTGGAGGAATGGTTAATTAGATGTGACATTTTTTTAACCTTTGAATTTAAATTACAAGTTGTGACAGCTTATCTTTAAATTTTTTTTCCAAAAACAAAAATGTCCAACCAATAATTTTTTTAATATCATAACATCTCTAGTAATAATTATAATTAAAATTTTATTGAATTAACTTTGGTGTACACCTTAGTCAATTTTATATTTTTAGGGTGAATGAGCTGAGACAGTTCAAGAATCCTATATTTAACAAAAATAAAATTTAATTTAAAAATATCAACACACAAATATTTTCTACAAAGAACTACGTGACTCTGATTCTTCATTACACATGGAGATACGTAGGAGGAAGAAATAAATCTTGTCGAGCCAAAAAATAAAAAAATATTCTTCCTTTTTATATAACAATAATAATTTTAACCTTTTTTTAATGCATTAGTTAAATAAAATATATTTGATTATTTTAGTGAGATAAATGTTTTATAAATTATAAATAATTTGTTTAATTAATTAAAGATAATCGTCTTAAGACGAACGTTGTGAGGTACTAATACCTTCCTCACACGTAATCGACTCTCGAACTCAAAAATCTGGTTTTCGTAGATTATTTTCTATTTTATGATTTTTCCAATGTTTTTCCTTAAAAACAACATTGGTGGCGACTCCCTCTTTTTTAATTTATTTTTAGCCGTCCTGTTGCGATCTCGGTTGCGACAACTACCATATGTGTACAAAATGAACTATCCTTAACTTTTTAACTAGTTCACCTAACCTGTGGATTAAATATGGTAAGTTAGGTCAATTTGAGTTTTTTTTTTCTCTCTCTAAATTTTAGTACTGAATAATCAATTTCTATATATAAACACAAATTATTATCTTAAGAGAGATTATTTTTAGGGACTTTTGTTTAACGAGAAGGTTCGGGATTATTTTAACTTCTTATCTATTTTAATTTTTATTTATCATAATTATTTTATAAATTAAATATTAATATTTTAAAATATCAATATATAAAATAATTTTTTTAAGAATATAAATTATTTGTCATAAATCTAAAATATAATTTATATGTTTAAAAATATTTATTTATACAAATTTTTAATATAATTATATATTCAAACATAATATTTATTTATATAATTTATTATAAATTTTATTTATATATAATAAACATGCATATATATTGTATAGACTAAAATAGTATTAAAATTAAAGAAAAAAATCAAGTTTAAACATTTAAGTTTTCAACTTTTTTTTTATCCTTTTGTTGTTTTTTTCTGTTATTTTTTTTTATAACTTTTTTAGTTCAAACCATGTATCTATTCTTGGTCATAGGAGTTTCTAATTGAGATACCAAAATTATGTCTTATCCCTTACACTCCATCTACCGTTAGTGAGGAGGAAGGAAGGATAGTAGAATTTTGGAAAGATAAAACAGTTTTGATAGATAGAGAAAAACTTGAGAGAAGAGTGAGAGGAGAGAGAAATATGATTTTTGTTTATTTTAAAAATAAAGTTAATTTGCTAACGTAACCTTACTAAAAAATTTGTTTAAAATTTAAACAAGGTATAATAATTTTTTAGTCAAAAGCTATTTTGATTTATGTTATTGACATCATTAAATTAAAGAAAAGTTGCATTGACTTCCCCAAGGTCAGTTTAAATGATACAAACTTTTCCTCTAATTTTTAAAAGTCACCCACTTCCCTTAACATATGGTCATTAGTTAAAATGAGAAAATAAGAAAAAATAAAAATAATTTATATAAGTGACTATTTTTTGTTTTTAAATAACATAAAATGGTGTCATTTTTATGAGAATTTTCATTATTTTTTAATTTTAAAAATAATAATTTGTCAGTCTATTCTTTGAAGTTATTTTTTAAAGTTGATATACTTTTTAAATCACTACATGCTTGATATTTAATATATAATTTGAAAGTTAAAATTGAGTAAGAGATGAAATTTTATTCAATTATTGACACTTATATTAATAATTTGTTCTTTCTTAATCATACACAAATGATATTATCTTATAATATGTGTCACTTAGATAAATAAATAAGAGAGTTTTAGTATTCACTTAAAAATTAACTATTTTTTAATTTTAACTATTTATTTATGATTGTGATCCAAGTTTATAGTTTTTATATTTTTAAAATGAGATCAATAAATGGTTAAAATTGATAGATAAAATTATTTAAGTTTTTAGATAATCAAGTTAACACTTAATAACTTTTATTTTTATTTTTACCTCTAATCATGTATAGATATATAAATATATTATCAATCAAATTATTAAATAGTATGAAATTATTCATATGACTATGTAATTAAATTTTAAACAACCCAAACATTTATAAACATTATTTAATAATATTTTAAATAGTATATTATGTTTTAAAAGTTAAAATAATACAGAGAAATAATAATTAATTTTTAAATCATGTAAAAATTTAGAAACTAAATATTTTAAGATATAAATTTATCAAGACTTATATTTTAAGATAACACACAGTGAAATAGTGAGGATTGGCAGAGTGGTGAATTGAGGCATTGTAAGTGAAGTGGGTCGAAAAACAAAAAACAGTTGCTGCCATGGAATATTTTCACCTTATGGATCAAAATAAGATAATTATTATGTCAACTCAACAATGTTCAGTTAGTTTGTTGATTTTCTTGGGCTTCACAACCTTTCTCGATAGATCATATGAAAACGGGTCAACTTTCATAACATTGCATACCCAACACGACCAACCCATGTACCGAGAGAAATCGTGGAAGCCCATATACAATTTTTTTTTAATAATTTTATTTACTTTATTTTTTAATCTTTATAATTTAAAATAAATGTTTTTAATTTCTATATTTATCTTTTTCAATTTTTTTTAATCCTTATGATTTAAAATATTTTTTTAATTCATATATTTGTAATTTTTTAATTATTTTAGTTTCTATATTAATTTTTTTATAACATTACCTATTTTGTGTTGACATAATAGATGTCTTCAATTTTGTGAGGATAAAAAATGTATCTCAACAATGAATGTTACAAATGAGAGTACAGAAGAGACACGAAACATTAAGAAATTTAATTTAGAATAATTTCAATAAAATAAATTTGATACGAGACACAATGAATTAATATTTTTGTCATGTCAACACGAAAGAGATAATGTTACAAAAAAATCAATGATAGAGAATAAAAGATTAAAAAATTATAAGTATAAAAGTTAAGAAGATTTATTGTAAACTAAAATAATTAAAAAATGATTATTTTTTTTTTTTGAATAAATGATTACTTTTATCATTAAAAATAGTTAGCGTTGTCACATTAATTTTCAAAACTAAAAAAAATACTAAATTAAATGTTTAGAATGTTATATAAATTCTAAAATTAAATTATTTATTATCATTTTAGTTCTTAAATATATATCAATATTATTATTTTAGTTATATATTTTATTTTTTAAATTTAGATTAATATAATTTTCAGTTTTTACTTTAAGGACTTATTTAATATTTCTTTCAATTTGAAGACTAATATAGCAACGCATTATAAATTTAGAAATCAAAACAAATATTTATCTGACAAAAAATATTTTCAGATTCAAATTCAATCTTTCTTGATTATTTTCCTTTTGAGATAATACTATTCAAAAATAGTCAAACATTAAATATGAGCACCTCTTCTAACAATGTGACAGGCCTTAATATGGAATTGGCCTGGAATTTCCCCCACAGTTTGACCTCATGGGACTAATTCTCTTGAGAAAGTATTGGTTAGGAGATAACTCCTCTATCTCATTCGTGATTTCAAAAGCCCTCACGAATTAACTTGTCTTACGGGTGTAGTTTTCACTATATTAATCACATATTTTGCTGTAATTGATTATTTGTTATGTTGGGATCAAATTGATTATTGGACATCTAGTGTAGAATAATTCACCTTTACTTCTTTTTATAGTTTGTATACTTTGATATTACTTTTTTTTACTGTATTTATGATAATGCATTTTTCAATTATATGCAAGACATTTTAGGTCCTTTATAATCAAGATGAATCATAAATATTTGTAATCAAAATCATTTTTGATTTTGTGGAAGAATAAATTTCACTACAATAAATATGAATTATTTAAAAGAACAAGGCATGTACCTTCAACTTAACAATAATTAAATTTTTATTTTTTTATACATACGAATAGTTGAAGGGAACTCTTTAAAGAAAAATAGATTAGGGGAGTGTGTGACTTAAATTATTGATTCAGTCACACATATATATATTCATTTATCATATTTAAATTTATAATTAAATACATCTTTTTTCTAACCACCAACAAAAGTTCCTATATAGGAGAGGATAGGCTAATTTGTAGAGAATCTTTCCTATGATCATATTCAATTTTATTTTAGATGAGCACATTCTGTAAGATCCAGTAAAATAAGTGATGTGATATAATATGAATTATATCTGATGTATTTCACTAAACTTATATAGTATAAAATTGTATTCATTTTTCTGTGTTTATTCGATTTTTTATATTATCATAGTTAAAAAAAAATATGGATCTAAAGAAGAATTTGAATCACATTATATTAATAACAAGTAAATTTTTTATACATAAAAAGTCTCAAAATTATTTTTTCATAGGATAAGAATCGTAAGGTTTGAGATCACCTATTCAACATTATCAATTTTAAAAGTCTACTTGGATATTTAGCCTAATAAAATTAAATTAAAAAAAAAAGAAGAAGCTTTTTGCTTGATTCAGGTGGAGCGAAATCCAATTCTTTCAAGGCAAAAGCTGCCTAAAGTGTTGGCCAATGGCAATGTCCAATTTATAGTACGGTTAAACCAATGTGTAATTCATTATGGAGAAAATAAAACGAAGACTCAAATGAAGCATTTATAAAATCAATAAACTTCAAAAAAACCCAAAGTCAATTCTCAAACGAATACATTGTAACACTTTTATATCTGACTCCATACATTAAGAAATGGTACATTTACATTAGAACTCGATGAATACAATAAGAAAATAATATAAACACATACAATCAACTTATCCATGCACAACAATGACTATGAAAAGAAGAGTTGAAGAACTATATACTCACTATACCAAATTAAGATTTTTTAACATTAGGTTCGAGTCCTAAATCCTTCCTCGTTTTCCCCACAAACAAATCTCCTGACTTGATCATGCCAGGAAACCTTCCGAGCACAGTTATGAATGGGAACTGTGCAACTCCATGTTTTCTTCCAAGTGAAACTATAGAAATTGGTGGTTGTGCCTTGTATGTTCCCAACTTTTTGCCTCCTCCCTCTATCAATAGCTTCAGGTTCTTGGCAACCAATTGAGCATGACCTTGTGCATACACCCCTTGTTTGATTTCCTGTCAAATCCAACAATATTGCATTAATAAGGGTGTGAAATGCCACACATTTGGTGTCATTGGTGTAAAACAGTAATACTATGACAAATTACTATGTTGATTATTTTTCACTCATCATAGCAAGTGACATGGTGACAAAAGTACTAAAAATTCAATAATGTCCTATTTAAATGTGTCAAAATAGAATTTAAGAATAATTAAGATTCATACTCAAATTATGTTAACAAAGAGTTTAGGTCTGTTTATAAGTAAATTGGTAAAATAATTTCTTATACTGCTGCAATCATTTTTATAGGAAACAACCAATAACTTCTTATATTATCATTTGTTTCTTCTATTATCATTTATTAATATTATCATTTGATTAACTTTGTTGTTATTACTGGCAAAGTAAAACTTATGTAACCTCACCTGAACAAACCACAAATCACAAATCACACAACATGATTCACTAGCCTATTTCATAACCAATTGATAATAGTTGTTTGCAGCACATGTGGCATGTGTATAATGTGTATGACGGTATTTGGAGGGAAAACTAAGAAAATATTAATAGGGTGTCTTGTTGAATTTGTTATAAATGGTTTGATTAGGTAGAAATATCTATTAGCAAGGGGAAAAGGGATATAAAGATACTACTAAAAGCCAAAGTGACTTGGTTTTGGTTAGAACTTACTTGAACATCTATAATATCTCCAATTGCAAAAATGTTGCTCCTGCCCTTTACTCTCAAGTGTTCATCCACCTTGATCCTTCCATCAGCATCCAAGTCATCCTTTAGAAGAGTTTCTCGAAGCCATGCTGAGCCAAGTGGTTTCCCTATGCATAGAAAATGAGTATCTGCTTCTATAGTCTCTCCACCTGAAGTTTGATATGTCTTATTTCCTTCTGTGGAGGAGGAGTTCAACTCAACTGATTGCTCTAGTTTCACATCAACTTTCTTTGATTTGAGCCACTTCAAAGTCTTCCTTGAAGCTTTTGGGCCAATGTATTCCAACAACCTTGTTCCTTTATGCACTATAGTTACCTTCTTATCAGGAAAATCAACAGCAATCTCGGCTGCAAGCTCAACACCAGTTGGACCTCCCCCAACAATCAAAACTGAACTTGCAGATTTGATCTTTTCATTTTCTGCCATGGAAAAGGCTCATCATCAATCAAATGAAATAAATACATTGAAAATCACTAACACAAAAGAATCCAAAACAGGCTATAGCAATTTATTATACATTGGAACTTTGACTAGAAATGCTCGAACAGGTTTGTTTGGATACACTTCTTCATAAATACTTATATTAAGGTGCAAAAAAGGTAAAATTAATTGAAATTTTCCTAGAGGTTCAATTCAACTTATGAGAGAAGATAAATACCTTTTATCTTCTTATTTTCTTCTCCTTTAAGTGCTTATAGAAAAATTTATCCAAATACAGTACTACTCAATATAATCTAGCTTAGAACTATTATATTCAAAGCTACAAAGTGCAATCATCTCAGATTCACAGTAGATGAATCATGAAAGATCAATAATCATTGATATTCCATTAGTCAGAATGATATTTCTTTGTTTCCTTTCCTTTTATTTTTCATCTCTACATGAAGATTGAAGTGTTATCCTAAACTTCTGGTATTACCTGATTTGTATTGGTCAAGTCTTTCACTCCTGGTAATAGGGATAGGTTCTATGTGGCCAGTGGCAATAACAAGATAGTCATAGGCAATCTGTTGGCCATCTGCAGTCAACACTTCAGTTTCAGTTATGTTGACAGCAGAGGACACAACAAGGTAACCTTTTTTGAAGTAGTCTCTATGGTTGACCACTATCCTTTCAGCAAAAGATGGCTCCACCAATCCTCTCAAACTTGCCCATGGAATCTCAAAATATTCCTTCCTGTGTTCAACAGCTCCAAGTCAGTGCAACCATTAACACAACAAGCTCTATCTCTATGTGTGCAGTGACTCATATATCAGTAACAGAACAGCAAATATTTCCAAACAAATTATCACTCTACTACATGAAACATGATAAATCCTTCTCTCTCAAATTTTGGGTGTGTTTGAAAGTGGTTATAAACTCATTTGAACTTATCATAGCAATATAAGTTTTTTTACACTTCTTTTGATAAACATATTGAGCTAACTTATCAAGTTTGGATAAGTTTTTTCTGAATACACTTCTAAAAAGGAAAAATATGAAGGAAAATTAATATAAGTTTTTTCATAATCTAAAACTAGCTTATGCGGTTATGCCTAACTTGAAAATAAGATTTTAGAGAAACTAATAAGAGAAAATTTCTATAAATTAGTTTATTTATAACTTAATTTTATCTTATAAAAAAAACTTATTTTTTCTTATCTTATTTTTCTTTCCTAAAAATACTTTTAGATAAATTTATCTAAACAAACCCTAAAATAACATATTTCGATAAACTTAGCAATTAAGTTCTTAGGTATCAAACAGTTAAGTACTACTTGAAATTGTTAAGAATAAAATTAAATATTAGGAACTTTATTAATAATTATAAGCACACCAAACAAGGAAATCGGACATTATATCCTAATCTAAAATCTTTATGCATCAAATTTATGAGTTTTTGTCCTTTATATACTAATTAATATACTCAATATTCTATCTAATATGAGGCTTTCGTTCATACTTACACCTAAACATAAATCATCCATAAATACTTGTATAGAAGTAATACGGCATTGAAAATTCAATTAAACATAGAAAAAAGCATGAATTAAACAACAAAGAGACCAGGAAGTGGCTACATATAGAAAGAGAGAACTCACGGATCAATAAGGGTGACGTTGGCTTGATGTTGTATAGTTTTTGCGAGGATGGCACCGGCAACACCACCTCCTACGATGACCACTTTCTTCTCCGCCATTTTTAGTGCTTGCAATTTGCTCAACCTTGATTAGACTTTGTAATGAGTGTTATGTTCTCACAAGATAAGGCAACAACATAAATAGAAGTCGTTGCGTCATTGCATGAATCATCAATGTGGAATGTCAAATTTTGTATTTGGACATAAAATAGACCAAAGCCGAATGGAAGCTGTTGCTGCAGTCAACTTGCCAGCCTCCTAGTTCACAACATGAAAGGGGTGTTCCAACTTCTCTACGTATAGTTTTCTTAAGGAAAATATTATTTAAGAAATAAAAAGACCCCACTATAATATCAAAAGTTATAATTATGTAACAAACGTGCACAGATTATTCTACGATTAAAAGAAATAAAAAGGAAAAAAAATATATATGAAATAAGAAGATTTTTGGTAAAAAAAAAAAAAAACATAGACATTATTCATAGGAGACAACACAGTAAGAAAAGATTATTATAGACAATAAAATTTTCTTTCTAAACATTTAATATAGTTACATATTTAAAACTTGAATTTTAGACCAAATTATTAATTAAGCTGAAACACTTTTTAACAATTGATTTAAGTATTTGTTATGAAATAAGAAGATTGATTAATTAAAAATACTATTACATAAAGTATTATTAAAAATATATTATAACTATGTCAAATAATTTCCAATTAATTAATTAAAAATTTAAAAATCTTTACAACACATAAAAAATCGAACTCATAATATAATTGATATGATATTCGTGACTCATGACTAAGATGGCCTGTTAAAAAAAGGTATTTAGAAAGGTGCCAGCCTGCATAAGATGTTGCTTGCTAATTCAGAATTCTTTGAGGAAATTATTCAAACATAACGTATTAAGAAAACATCGTAATAGAATATTTATTCTTTTTTATTTTATTTCATAGATATTTTCTTTTGGCTGAAAGGTGTCACGGAGTTGGGGACAATGAGTTGGAAATACAACTATACAAGTGGCAACTGCATATTTAGCACAGTGTGATTGCATGCTGGCGTCAAGTTTCTGGGACCTTCTTAGCATAATAATAGATTAAGAATTAAGCGTTTGATATAGTCTTCATTCGTTTAATTTAAGATAAGATTATTATTCATTGCTTTTATCAGCTTTTGACTAATTGGGTACAATTTTGACTTTTCTCTTCCATTTAGATGGGTTCGGCTTTGGATTCTTATCCTCTTAGTGACTTTTCTCTTCCATTGATTTTTACCAAGTGCATCTTTTAACCTGAACTTACAATATAATTGAAGGGATAATAATCTTGTTATTAAGATTTTGTTATGGCGAGTGGGATATTGCTTCCACTCCAGATAAGGATTCTGGTATAATTGAAGGGAGGAATAATCTTTTGAATGTAACATTTTTCGCTTCATGGAAAATGCTTTCTTGATCCTTCTTTCTTCTCCCACTATTTCGAAATGTAAAACCATTGATTGATATTTAAAATGATACTGTCTTTTCACATAGTGATGAAATTTTAAAAGGGGTGAAATAGTGTGAAACAACCGGCTAGCATTTTGGTACAAGATTTACCGGCGAAGCACCATCTTATCAGATTCAAATTTTATTCTCTAATATGTGCATAGTCTATTTCTTTTCTATACTATATATGTGCCAACAACCATTAACCTATACTTAAGTGACATAGGGTACATGGATTGAACAACACTAGTTTTATGTCATGAAGCAAGAATCTGATTCTATTAAGATATAATTACTTTTAAATAGTCTCACCTAAAAAATTTCTTGTCCTATCTTCGCCAACATGTCAAAGGAAAAAACAATCCCCACTTGAAATGCACTCATGAGAAGTGAACAGGGCTAACTTATAAGGAGTTGGTGATGTGATGCACAAAAATATGACAAGATAAAATGATTGTCAAATTTAGTTTTGGGTGTCCTTGTTCTGGGTAGGATTTATTCATGTTGAACATTCGTTTTCCCCTTGTAGTAAACGCACTTTCGTTTTTAAGCCACCAATAAAGGCAGAATATGATGTTTTCGTGCATTACATGAGACTTGTTAGTCAATTCACCTAGGCCTCTTCAGTCTTTGGATTTTGAATATGTCAAAGCTAATACTTGAAGAAACTACAACAATATTTCCTTCCTACTTGTCTTTGTATATTTCATGTTTCTGTCAATACCACAATTATTAATAGAAATACTATTCCTTCTTTTAATACCACAACCTATTAGCTAATGACTCTTTCTAAATATTTATAATTCATTATAGCATAGACAATCCCCTACGCCAGGGAAGCCAACGAGTTGAACAAAATACAGTTTTGTACCTACCATCTGAGTTTGGTTAGGTAAGGTTGGTCCCAGAACAAAAGAGGGAAACATGGCTGGATCCATCCAAATCGTGTAACAGCAACAACAATAGTCTTATTCCATTAGGTGAGGTTAGCTACATGAATCATTCGATGTCATTCATCTTAGTTAAAGACCAAATTTTCATAGATATTATTTGGTGCAAAAAAACTTGAGAAAATAAATGATGCAGGAAAGAAACTTTCTGATAGTAAACATTCTGCAGACAAACCAACAAAGCATCCAATCAATTCTATCAAACCATATAAGTCAATGATACAATGTTCCCATGGTAACATCAGTATCCTGCTTCTAAATCACAATTACATTTCATGATTTCAAGAAACACCACTTAAGCATAAAGATATTATATATATGGTACAAACGTATTCTTTATAGGAAGAACCAACTGAAAATACACCAATATACCACACAAACTATGAAACAGGTTGATTTTGTAATTTATATATGCACAGTATCGAGTCAAGCATGTACAATATCAGGATTGAGTCCCATTTGTTTTCTTGTTTTACCAACAAACAAATCTCCAGATTTGATTAATCCAGGAATTCTTCCTATAATTGTCAAGAATGGGAACTGTGCCACTGCGTCTTTCCTCCCAAGTGAAACTATTGCCACTGTTGAATGTGGCTTGTAAGTATCCAATCTACATTCTCTTCCTCCCTCTATCATCACCTTCAAGTTCTTGACAACCACATCAGCCTGCTGCTGTGCCAAAAACCCTTGCTTGATTTCCTGTTGTATGGATTTCTATTAAAAGCTGGTTTGTAAAGAGATTAAAATGCTACAGATGTATAGCATGTATCCCATTTATATGGGAAAAAATCAAAGAGATTCCTATACGACAAGCCCAAGTAATGCAATCACATAAATGTATAGGACATTATGCATATAAGTCAACTTTTAAAATTTGTTATCACACACTAACTTTAGTCTCTGAATTCAAGGATTTAGGACACTTTCCCCAACAAAGTCACTGAAAAGACCTAAAGAACAATCGTGTAAAATATGGACAGGCAGAAAAGCCTCCTCCACTCAACTGCCAAGACAAATTGAATTTGAATTGGAGGAATACTAGTTTCATTAACTTATTTATGAGCAATATACTCATTCACTTTGCATCAAGTTTTCATTACTAGTAAGAGGAAACTAAATTCTGGCCAAAACCCCGGCAGTAAAGCATGATCTCTCAGTTAAGAGAATCAGACAGAACATTTTGTGAACAGCAAAAGATTTAACAGCTTGTTGAGTTTGTTATAACGGGTAATTACATATCAAATTTTATTATTGTGAAAAGCTGAATAAAATTTACTAATGGCAAGAACTTACTGGAATATCTGTAATATCTCCAATTGCAAAGATATTGCTCCGACCCTTGACTCTCAATTTTTCATCTACTTTAATCCTTCCTTGAGCATCCAAGTCATTCTTCAACACAGTTTCCTTAAGCCATGCCGAAGCAAGTGGTTTCCCTATGCATAAGAAATGACAATCAGCCTCAATCGTTTCTCCATTTGAAGTTTGATACATCTTCTGTCCATCAGTGAATGCACTCAAGTCAACTGATTGCTGAAATTTCACTCTAACATTCTTTGATTTCAACCAATTTAGAGTCTTGTCCGCAGCTTTTGTCCCTATGAACTCCAGCAGCCTTGATCCTCTGTGCACTAGTGTAACTATCTTATCCGGAAAATCAACAGCTATCTCTGCAGCAAGTTCCACACCAGTGGGACCTCCTCCAACAATCAGAATGGAATGAGCAGCTTTTATCTTTTGATTGTCTGCCAGAGAAAATGAACTTCAGAACTCAAAATCTCAAATACTGACTATGACAATTCATTACACGGTTGATCAATGTCAAAAAACATTTGAAGTTTCTCATAAATCATTATGGGTTCCTATACTACCAAAAAGCATGCACAAAAACATTATGGTAAAATGATCAATGTCAAATTGTCAATCCATGATTCAAAAACAATTATACAAAATAAGCCTCAATAGCTTTAAACAAGTCCAATGATATAGATAACAACACACTCAGAACTTAATAAATCATTATGTGTTCCTAATATTTCTTCCATGGTTTTCCAAGAGCTCCATGGTGCTTTTGTTCTTTTAATGAACAATTCAACCATATAATAACCAGGCTTATTTGAGTCCAATGGCAGTAACCTGCTCTCAAAGTTTAACTTAACGATTCTAATATCAAAAACACTGAAAGCCTATTTTTATCAGGCTCAAACTTATTCTACATCACTTTAAAATTAAATACAGAATATTTTTGTTCCCCTTCTAGTCAATTTGAACAGATTATCACAGGCAAAGACATATGTTCAAACTCACCTTCTCTGAACTGTTTAAGTCTATCACTTCTGCTTTTTGGGACACGATCTGCATGGCCAGTGGCAATAACAAGATAGTCATAGCCAATTCGATGGCCATCTGCAGTCAAAACTTCAGTTTCCGTGACATCGACCGCGTGTGATATAACAATGTCACCATTGGTAAGGTAATCTCCATGGTTGATCACCGTCCTCTCAGCAAAAGGTGGCTCAACCATTGACCTCAAACATGCCCATGTAATCTCAAAATATTCCTTCCTGCATTCAACCACACTCAATCAGGGAAAAAAAACATATAAATGACAAGTTTCCAACAACAGCAACAACCATGTGCATCAAAAGTTAAACACTTCAATGTCAATTCAGTGTTTTGCTCACCACCACTTCAACCCCCCAAAATATTTCTCAATGGCAAACACTTCCAAAACCACACTTCTCAACCACAAAATTGAAACTTGGGAATTTGAGAAGCTGCAAAAAGCCATAAAGGTTCCAAAAATTGACATGGGCAGAAAATGGGCACCATGCATTAAACGTTCTCTTTACCAACCCACCAAGAGGGAGAGAACCAAAGCAGAACCCAAAGACAAACTTCAACCCATTAACCTTATGGATTACATACAACAAAAGGGTGTCTCAATTAGCAAAATTAAACTTAAAAAACTTCTACTTTAATAACCAAACATGAAAAAAAAATTCTAAAAAAAGAGAGAGAACTTGCAGAGAAAAGTTATAATTACGGATCAACGAGGGTGACATGCGCATGAAATTGGAGATTTTTGGCGACGAGGGAACCCGCAATGCCGCCTCCTAGGATCACCACTCTCTTCCCATTCTTTTCCATTTCGATTCTTTGCTTTGTTTCTGTGTCTGCAGATCCCATTTTCTACTTGAATTGCTAAGTGGCATTATTATTATTACTATTTAATTAAAAATAATTTAGAAGTGAAAAAATAGATGCCTGTGTAGCTTGGATTCGCTGGCTAAACAACTTTCCTTAATCCTTATGCTCTCCTTTTTGATTTGGGGGCAGAAACAAAATTAAATTTAGAAAAAAAATTGTTTCTTCTTAAACTTCTATTTTCAAATTATAATTTTGGGATGAATTGATTTTTTTTTTCATAACAACAATTAACAAGTTCGAACTTAGGAATCAGTTTGTTTAAATTTAATAAAAATATTTTTTTTTTAAAAAAAAAGAGGAAATAAATAAAACTTGCTTCTTAATGATAAGGTTGAAATTCTAATAGATAAAAAAAATTAATAGTTAAACTAAAAAAATTATGAAATACATAATAGTAGATCATTTTTAAAAAAAAAAATTTGGAGAAAAAAAACGTAGATCAAAACTTGAGCTTTACTAACAATGTCGTCGTCTTTGATTAGATTCGATCAATGCCAATAGTTATTGATCAAATTTAATAAAATTTAACGTACCAAATTAAATTTAATAAAAGAATAATTTCTCCTATCATTTTTTTTACTATATATTTTTACAACTAAATATTAATTTTACAAATATTGATATTAAGTATTAGTATTAAATGTTATATTATTATACCTCCTTATAAAAAATGTTATGTTATTGTTTATGCTCAATTTTATTTATTATTATTTTTAAATAGTTATTTTAAAATATTTTAAAATTTTAACTAAAATTAATAATCTTATAAATAATTATTCATAATTTTTATTTTAATTGATAATTAAAGATAAAAATTAAGAAATACATAGTCGTTGGTGGTTGATAGAAACTTAAACTTTTTAAAAGAAAATGATTGAATTTTTCAAAAAAAAAAATTAATTGATTTTAATCAAATTTAATGTGGTTAATTATATTTAATAAAAAATAAAATTTCTTATATTAACGTTACTTACTATACAAATTAGATTATTAAATATTAATTTATATAATTTTTATTTTAATTTGGGTTTTATCGTTAATAATATTCAAAATATATTTCATGAATCAAGTGTATTTTTATTTTTTTAAGTATGAGACTTTATGTAGATTTATTATGTTTCAATATTTCTACCCGTCATTGTTTTGAAAAATATAAATATAAATGGACCTATTATATTAATGAAACTTAATTTACTCACATTAATATTATTTATTATAGGAAATACGTGGTGACAGAACTTGAAATTATTATTATTATTATATTATTATTATTATTATTGTTATTATTATTAATTAGTTGATAGACCCGTATGATGCACATATTATATCAATATATTAGTTAATATAAATTTATTTTTAAATATATAAATTAGTTTTTGAATTTGACATTTAAGTTGTAATGAATAAAGATGATTTAAAAATAACACAAATAGAATATTATAAGAGAAACAAAATATGAACATATAAATTAAGAATAATTATCACACTAATCCAATATTATATAATCTCTAATGTGATCTCAAATATCCAATACATAAATCACAATAATCTGATCAAATAGTTTACAACTTCAAATTCAGCAAAACGTGCCTCAAAAATCTTTAAAATGGTAATAACAAAATACAATTTGATTTACACTATCTTCTTCCATGCTTGTTTTTTTCATCATTTGTTATCTTCTTCATCCTCTACCCCTTTTGATTTCATTCACAAAAAAACAATCACCTTCCATTAGTCTTTTGAGTTTAAGAAATGACGACTTTTAGCGATCAAAATCAATGACATCCTATTATAAACACGTAGCACAACAAACAACTCATTCTCACAAAACTCTTCAAAGTCAATGACATGCCATATTTTATTTACATAAATCTACGCTCAAATAATATACGATGAAATAAAAATGAAAATCTAAAGTAATAGAGATAATTTCAATGAAAATGAAGAGGGGTTATACGAAGATAACTTTGTATTTTTCATGATTGGGAAATGTATATAGTTTGATTGGAAAGAAAAAAATGTGAAAGGATAATAAGTTTGGGAGTTGAATATGCAACCTACATTTAACCTTCCCATTTTTGGTAACCGGTTGTTTCATTGGGAACACAAACAAAGGTGAATGAGAACATAGAAAAATATAAAATATGAATGAATGTGAGTTAAATGCATATTGAAAAAGAGAATGTTAATGGGTGTAAGTCAAATATATATTTCAAAATTCAAATTCAATCAATAAACATGTAGTTTATAAGATAACAAGTTATTGAATAAAAAAATTTAAGTTTCAGTTGGAGAAAAAAAAAAAAAGAAGTTAGAAGACTTCTTCACTATATATATATATATATATAGGAAACGATACTCATACTTTCATTGAATTACTTATACGATTTGGTACACTTGCCAAACGAGATAACAAGTTTCTGGTAGAGTTAATCACCTATACATTCTAGTGTAAAGTTTTTTTTTACATTGTCAACCAATTATATTTCTTAATTGTGCCATGTCACTGTAAACACATTTATTTTTAACAGTGACATGACACAATTAAGAGATATAATTGGTTACCAGTGTAAAAAAAATTTACACTGACAATATATTGGTGATTAACTATATATATATATATATATATAAGATAATAGTAGTAGCAATAGTTGATAATGAAATCTAATCAAATTTAATTAGAAATTAAATTTTTATATTAACGTTATTTACTATGCTAACTAAAGGTGATATTTTAGTTTTAAGTTTCAAAAAACTAAAAATTACAATCAATTTTTAGTTATTCTTCTATTTTTAGTTTTAAAATAAATTTGTTTTGAAAAATTAGTTTAAGAGTATGTTAGTGATGCTTACTATTGATAATGATGTTGATAGTAGTGGTGTACAACTACATTGATAGGTGTAAAGAAATAAAAACTTTTTTATGTTAAGTCAATATGGATTAATTCACTCATTATAGTAAGTCCACAAGTAAAATTAGAGCCAAAAACAATAACCTCAAAAGAAACACATTTTATAACATTGATCGAGAAAACTCCAAAGCCCCTCCTTCATGAACATCAATTTGATCAAAATCGTTACCTCCTTTGTAAACCAAATACCCATTTGAATTCAACCCATAAACATGCAATTCCCCAGCTACAAAACTCACCATAGACACTTTCCCAAACTAACCCTTCATTTTCCTCATCACAGTGTCATTGTTGTAAAGCCTTTTGCTTTGAAGCTTGCCAATGAGGGCATCCTAGTAGAGGAGGTTGTAGTTGTCAAATCAGAGGCTGTAGAAGTAACTCCGATTGCCATATATCATCGAGAATCAGACATTAAAAGCGATGACGATGACACAATCGAAGAGATAACACACAATGCGTTGCATCCACTCCGATGCTACCACACACATTGAATTATACTATTAACCCTTACGAACAATGAATTTGAAAACATATTTGTAAAACTTAGCAACTTTTTGTTTCAAAGGAAGATAAAAGAATTGAAGGAAAGAGTTAAAAATTTTGTTCCAAAGAGGGAATGAGAGAGATTTTATTGGAAGAGAATAGATGATTTTTTCTTGTTTGATTTATAAGGAGAGGATTTTTTTTATAAAAAAAAAAACTAATTTACCTATACCCTTAAAATTTTCAATTTCAAAATATAAGTAAGAGTATTTTATATATATATTATACTTAAAATACTTTAAATCTCCTCTAAAATCTGTTGATATATGAAGAGAATTAAAATAAGAGTTCAAATATTTTGAATTCACATTCAAAAATTATCATTTGAGCATACATAAATTTGTGATTTATGTGATATACTTTTTTTATTTTTGATTTGGATTAAGTCCTACTTGGATAATCCTTCCCTTTCCATTGCTACATGACCTATTGGGTCTGTTAGAACTACAATGCAAATATAAATGTAAAGTATATATTGTGTAAAAATCATTCAAACTTAATGAGTTATATAATTTCCACAAATCATCTACGTCATGAGCCAATTGGTCAAGGCGATGATTCCACATTTCCACACTCGCAATTTCAAATCGTTTTTCAATTCATTATATACATTATTTATTCACATTTTCATTTTCAAAACTAAACACTATAATTCCTTTTTTCGCAAAGTCGATGGATCTGATGGATTTGTCGCAGTTGACACTGTGTGAGAGCGTGACGGTGCTTGAGAAGGTGAGGATGAAAAAAAGGCATTAAACCATTTAAATTGAAATATTAGGACTCTATATGACCAAGTAGAATGTTAATATATTTTTTTAAAATTTGCAAGTAAATTAGTTGCAAATATTTTTACAGGTAAGAATTCGCAAGAATCTTATTTGCAAATTTTACAATTTGCAAGAAATGTAACTCCGAATTTCAAAATTTGCAGGAAATATATTTTGATATCTTCATGCGAATTTTATATCTACAAGAATTTTAATACAACTTTTTTCATGTATCTTTTTTCAAAAAAGTTTCTTGTGAATTGTTTTCACAAAAAAATATTTGGAGATAAAATTGTAAGAAAATCTGTAAGAAACTTTCATGTGATTTTCAAAATCCAGAAGCACTTATTATTCATAAGAGAATTATATGAGGATTTTAATTTGCAAGAAAGTTTGCATGAAACATATTTCTTGCAAATTCTTTTGTAAAAATTGTAAGAAATTTCACATGCAATAAAGATATTTCTAGTAGTGTTTTTTTTAGTTTCTTACCCTTTAACTTGATAATTTCTTATGTTTTCAAGAAAAAAAAATTCTTGTATGTATTGATTATGCTTTAAATAATTTAAAATTTTAATAAAGTGTAAATTAAATACATTTAACATATTCGCACTATTGCATATTAAGAGCACTATAACAAGATGTTTGACTAGTTTTTACAAATAAAATTATGTTCTTGTAAATGTTACTATAGAAGAACATCATGTGTCAAACCATGATCGTGCTTTTTTTTTTTTTTACGGTATAAGAATTGTTCTTATACAATTGCTTATTGTTAATTAAAAAAATTCAAATGTTGAACAATATTTTTGGTGAAAAAAATATGAAAGAATTAACTAGTTAGATAGGGTTCATTTTAACTTACAATCTATGTTGAACCACTTCATTGCTAAAAAGTTGATAATTATTAATTAATTAATTGGCTTGTTTGTTAATTGAACTAAAACTTTATATACTAAATAGTTGATTATGTTTGTTGCTAATAGTGATACTTTATGGAAAATCTTTTGATGATGAAGTGCTCAATGAAGTGATACTCTTGAAAGCAAATCGATTGATTGATTCAACCTTTTTTCTTCTCCCATGTAGTTTGAAATATAAAAATATTTATTGATCTTCAAACTATATTGTCTTTGAAAGTAGTGATTAAAAGTAAAAGGTTCAAATAACATGAAACACCATAGGCTTTAAATTTCATTATCTAATACATGTTTAGTCCATTTCTTTTTCCGTTGTGTACCAACAACCATTAATAATGTCATGGTTCTTTAATGAAAGAACTAATTGAAATAATGCACACAAACTATTGAAAAAATTGATTCTGTAATTAATTTGCATGAATACTATGCATAAAATTGAGTCAATACAATATCAAATATTAGGGTTGAGTCCCATTTGTTTTCTTGTTCTACCTACAAACAAATCTCCCGATTTGATGTATCCAGGAAATCTTCCAATTATTGTCAAGAATGGGAACTGTGCCACTGCTTCTTTCCTCCCAAGTGAAACTATTGCCATTTCTAATTGTGGCTTGTAAGTTTCCGTCCCACATCGATTACATTGTTTTTTGCCACCCTCAATCATCACCTTCAAGTTCCTTGCAACCACTTCAGCATGTTGTTGTGCTGCAAACCCTTGCTTGATTTCCTGTTGTATGGATTTTCATCAGAAATTAAACCTCATAATAAATGGCTTTTACAGAGATTAAAATGCCGCACATTTATAGCACTTAACCAAAGTAATACAATCACATAACTCTATACGAAGTCATGCATATGAATCAAGGATTTAAGACACTAGCAATAAAAGGATGATCTATTATTCTAGCTCAAGAGAAACATACAAAACATCATGTGAATAACAGAAGACTTGGTTATTTGTTTAGTTTGTTATTAGAGAAGGTAATTACAAATAAAGTTATATAATTGTGAAGAAAAAAACTAAACAAGTTATTGATGGCTAGCTAGCACTTACTGGAACATCTGTAATATCTCCAATTGCAAAAATGTTGCTCCAACCCTTGACTCTCAATTGTTCATCTACCTTAATCCTTCCTAGAAAATCCAAGTCATTCTTCAACACAGTTTCATTAAGCCATGTTGAACCAAGTGGTTTCCCTAAACATAAGAAATGACAATCTGCGACAATGTTCTCTCCATTTGATGTTTGATATATCTTCAATCCATCTCTAAATGCGTTTAAGTCAACTGATTGCTCTAATTTCACAACGACATTCTTTGATTCCAACCATTTTAGAGTCTTGTCTGCAGCATTTGTTCCTACGAAATCCAACAACCTTGGTCCTTTGTGCACTAGTGTAATCTTCTTGTCTGGAAAATCAATAGCTATTTCTCCAGCAAGTTCCACGCCAGTTGGACCTCCTCCAACAATTAGAATAGAATCAGCCGATTTTATCTTTTCATTCTCTACCAAAGAAAATGAACTTTATTGCTTAAATATTGACCACAACAATTCATTACATGATTGAACTTATTATATATAAAAAAAATCATGAAACATTGTACTAATTAAAATAATACTAAACAATCCCCAATAACTTGAAACATCTCCAATGACAGAGAATAACATACACAAAACTTAATCAATTATTATGTGTTATATTATTTCTGTCACGATTGTGCTAGATATTTATCTTAACAAACACTTAATCCATATTTTTCTTTTTATCCATCAAAAATACAATAATAGCACTAGAGTTTAAACTTAAATCTTATGCATATTGTTTCAACTCTTCACCATTAGACTGACATGATTAATTTAACATTTAAACCATATAATATTTCATTTCATGTAATGTGAGAAATACATTGCAACCAATGTAAGGTTAACTTAATATCATAATGAAACATTAAAATCCAATTTTTGTTACAAGATAAGGCTTAACTTATTATGCATCAACGTAAAATTAAATTTATAACATTTTTTTCCTTTGTAGGTAATTTAAATTGACAATGTACAAACTCACCTTCTTTGAATTGATCAAGTCTTTCAGGTCTGCTTTTAGGAACATGATCTGCATGGCCAGTTGCGATGATAAGATAGTCATAGTTTATTCGACGACCCTCTGCAGTCCACACTTCTGTTTCTGTAATATTGACAGCATAGGATGTGACAATGTCACCATGGGTAAGGTAATCTCTATGATTGATCAAAGACCTCTCTGCAAAAGATGGTTGAACCATTGACCTCAAACTTGCCCATGTAATCTCAAAATATTCCTTCCTACATTAAACCACATCATTCATGAGAGAGAAAAAAAACATGACAAGTTGATGACAAACAACTACAACAACCATATGTGCATGAAAAGTTAAACACTTAAATGTCAGTGCATTGTGATGCTCACCCCCACTTCAACTCCCCATAAAATTATAATGACAAACACTTCCAAAAACAAACTTCTCAATCACAAAATTGGAACTTGGAAATTTGGGAAGTTGCAAAACATGATAAATATTTCAAAAACTGACATGGGTAGAAAATGGAAACTATGCATTAAGAGAGAGAGAGAGAACATAACAAAACCCAAAAACACAAGATGAAAACTTCAATCCATTATCCTTATGGATTAAATACAATGGAAGTCTCAATTAGCTATATAATTCAAATTAAAAAAAATAGCTTGAATAATTACTCATGAGAAATTAAGAGAAATAAAATGTTGCAGATAATGATTTAATTACGGATCAATGAGGGTGACATGGGCATGCGATTGTAGATTTTTGGCGACGAGGGAACCTGCAATACCACCTCCTATGATCACCACTTTCTTCCCTTCTTTTTCCATTTCGATTAATATTTTTTTGCTTCCTTTCTTTGAATATCACTTGTCCGATCTAATGCAATTGTTGCATGACATTATTTATATTTAAAAGTATCAAACATTGTTTGTGCATAGGTTGGATACAGTTATTAGACACCCTTGATGATGCTTATTTTTTCTATTAAGAAGAAAGAAGATAAATTGAGTAAAAATTTGTTAATTTTACTTTTATTGATTACTTATTATTCTTATAATATTACGTAATAATTATTGTAAAAAAATTATTTTATTTTTAGAATTTATTAAAAAGTAAAAACAGATCATTTGGATAAAATCTTTTTTTAAATAACTTTTACCATTTTAAGGTGTTTTTAGTCTAATACTTTAATTTATTTTCTAGTAACACTAGTGCAAAAATATGATTTATTGACACATTTTTTATGTCAAGTGTTATTCACGTGGCATAGAAATTGACGTAATGACATATTTGTAAATATATTTTATTTTATGACAAGTGTTAACTTACCCATCATATAATATTCTTTCTATGATGGATAAATCAATGCTCATCATATAATGTTTAAGCATATTTATTAATATGTCACTACGTCACTTTCTATACTTCAACCTTCTATAATGAGTGTTGACTTACCCATTATAAGGTGTCGATAATACATCATATGATTATTTATTTGTTTAATAATTGACTAATGTTTAACTTATCTCTGTTTTGAATTAATTGTAGGTATTAAAAAATTCTCACTCCATTTATCGATGAAGAGTTGAAAGATACCTATAAAAGGTGGGCATCAACTTTTCTTGAGTCATTTTGATAGTTGATTTATGTTTTTATACATTGTTTTAGTTTTCTTTGTTTACATTGGCTAGTTTACTTTAGATTCACTAATAATTGATAACATTGGTACATTCTTATACTAATTTTTCATTATTCTTAATTAATGCTAGTTAGTTTTAAATTTAACTTTATTGTTAACTCTTTTTTATTCCTAACTAGTTTACTTCGTACGTTATTTCAATTTAAATGATAGATATGTATTTTATATAGGTTTGTATTGAATTAGACAAGAATATGTTGTATTGAATTGTCTAAAATGTATTTTTTTATGTACATGTTTGAAAAAATACGAAAAATGAAAAGAATATTAAAAAAGATACTTTTTACGATAGGTGTGGCTATACTTGTAATAGAAAGTGCACATTCTATTAGCCGGTGTGGTCTTACCTAGCATAGAATGTGTAACATTTTATATAGGTTTCTATTAGCAACTATAACATTTTATGACTGGTAAGATTACATCTTCCATAGAATGTGGCACATTCTATGATGTGTGTGTGATCACACGTGACATAAAATGTGCACTATCTATGTCACGTGTAATCACACTTGTCATAGAACATAGGTACCAATGTGATTAAAATATCACATTTAGTATCCATATTATAACAGGCATTGACCATTTAACATAAAAAGTGTACTTTTTATATTGTGTGTTGATCCATCATAGAATGTGTTGAAGTTTTATATCATCGAGATCTATGTCGCATCTAAGTTTGACATAAAATGTTCAAAACACCTACCTAACATATATAAAAAGTCTCTACCACATTAGTGTAATGATTATATTTTTTTTACATTAGTGTAATGATTATATTTTTTTACTTTCATTGTAACCTTTCCCACACTTCATCATCTATCTATTTATTTATAATATAGAAGTCAAATTATTCTGTATTACGCCAAAATATCACTTTAAAATGAATCTTACACATTGCCAAGTCAGCAAAAAAGCTTATATGCCATTTTGTAGTCTCTTCCTTATTCTACCATAGAAACTAAAAGCCACAAAACCTAAAAGCCTCAATTCACAATGTCACTCACTCTTTTCTCTCTCTCTCTCTCTGTGTGTGTGTGTTTCTCACTCTTCCTTATTTTACTATTTCTCTATCTATAGAACTTAAAAGCCTCAATCCACAATGTCTTTCACTCTTCCTCTTCATATCTTTCTCTCTCCATCTTTCTATCTCTTTATGTCTGTGTGTGTGTGTTTCTCACTTTCCAAAATATCACCATGACATGGTCACCGCCAAACTTTGCCTCTACCTTCATGATTGCCTCCTCCCAAAGGGCTACGACACTTCCATCCTCCTCTCCTCCACTACCTCACCTATGTTGAACCTGGGCATGCTTGCCCTAACATCGTCACCTACGACCTCCTCACCATGCTCAACAGATCCTTAGAATCATGAAATAAAGAGACTTCATGTTTGTAGATGGTGATTGTCAACTATGGTTTGATTTCTATTTTCTCCATTTTCATAACACATTTGTGACATTTTCTCTAAAATTATTTCTTTCTTTTTCTAGTCCCTTTACATTTGATGTAAGTTAGTTATTTATCGATACGAGTCTAACTTACAATGTATTTAGAGGTCCCGTTGATCAAATGAGTATTTGTTGATTTCTCTGTTTAGTTGTTCATGATTATTTTTATTTTTTTCCCCATTTTTTTAGATTAATTAATAAGTAACAAATATCACTCCTCTCAAAAAGGAATTACAATGTATCAAGTAAATTTTGTAGTTGGTAATCATAACAAATATTATATATATATATAT